TTATTTATTCACTATATGTAACCTGAATTTTCTCTCTCTTATCAAATAACAAAGGTTATCTTTACAATTTGTTATTGAACTACTAATTAAGTTGCTTTTTATGGTGTCAGTGATAAACTGCCCCTAAAAAGTCCACTTTATTGCGTGCTCATTGAGTTACTCCTATCAAAACTATTTAACAAGTTCAATTTACACATACTCATTAATTTGTCACGCTTATTAGTGGCTCATGGTTGCTTAAAGCCTATGTCTGACTTGACCACAGAGTTAGAGCATCATTCAATCCTCTCAGGATGACCACTCCACTTACTCTGCATCCAGTCAGCTCATGAATTAACAACCCTTGCAGACTGTAACCCTTTTATTTTTTGTTTATGCCTTCAAATCCACCTTAAATCTTCTTTACCTAAATGTTGGTTTTAAACACAAACAATTCTTATATTCTATTTTGAAACGCTGTCACCATTCATATATTTACAATGTTGTTATTTACTAAGCCAGCATTTTAACTGCAGACATTTATCCACATTTGCAAACAATAGTTATAGAGCTGAATGACACACAAAACCGAAAGCATAGTCCTCTCATGCGCTCTGCATCAGCTGCCTCATTTGCATGCACACACACTCTTCATCTAAGAATAGCAGCAGGCAGTCAGTGCATTGCTGACTCGACCCACAGAGATCTTTTTTAATACAGAGACGTCTTATATTTACAACTGCACAGATTTTAAACCTTTTAACACCTATCGAATTTCGACAAATTTAACATAACCGTTTTTTGCAATCAATTAACCAGTATCAAGACTTTAACTGTTTCTGGCCTCATTTCTAAAATCCCTAACTCAATTTAAAAGCGTCAACCAACCCAAACTTTTTGAAGTTTTAGGTTAAAGTTACACGCCCGAAATCCACTTCTGCTGGCCAAAAAAGCGCAGATACCGTTTCAAACGGTAAGGAGACTCTAACTCCTAGCTATTTTGGAGGTTCCCAAGTTCTCCCCGGTTGCCAACCGTACTAACCCTATTCGCCGATAGGTCAGGGCCAAGCGTCCTTGGCCGGGAGGGAGCATTACCTCCGAGAACTGCGCTTCCTAGCAGACTCTAACTGCCGTTCTAGAATAATTTATAATACTTTGAAACAACAATCAACACCCGAAACAAGTGTATAACTGAGGCAGGTGCAACCTAGTGGTCAAATGGAGACTCCAACTCACAAAATGACCGCTCAGGTCCACTCTTATGACCAAATTTGGACTCTAACCAACACAATAACCAATTCCCTACCAAACTACTTGAGACTCTAACTCAATTTCTTTGGGACTTCAACCCAATATTTAAACTTTTTCCTGGCAGACTCAAACTGCTTTAGCAGACTTTACTGCTTTCATTTCTTCTTAGCAGAACTCTAACTGCTTCAACTCATGAAATTTTCATCAAAATCAAAACAGACATCCACCAGTAACTTCAGTGAGTAGACTTAAATTTTATCATGTCCAATTTGGCACACTTTGGAAATAATTCAACAGGTAGTGCCTTACCTTTTGGATAAGCCGGCTTATGCCCACTCACTTAGACCACTGGAATTCATGTCTGCCCGTCAGACCACCCAAGACCCCGGATTTCTCCGTCCAAACCTCCAACTCTCCCTCCTCAATAACCGGACGAAGCCCCCAAATGTTAAGATTCAATATTGAGGAAGGGTACAAGAGGTGATCGAAGAATAACCACACCGATCCGGCCGGGTGAAGTCAAACGATGATTTTAATGAATACACGCGTGGGAAGAGAACTCTGTACGCAGACAGGAAGTAGTCTTCGACTTAATCAAAGCATGAACAGATATTTTATAGCATCAGGGTTTGTTTACTGACGCCCCTTCATGCGTCACAGATACATTTTATACATAGATCAGATCAACATCATCATGACTTTTTACCTAGAAAATCATCTTCTATTTTCATGGCTAGCCCTTCCTGTCTACCTTTCAGTTCTTGTCTTGTTCCTCTTTCTTGCCGAGACACCAAGAAACGGTTCCTCTTTTACCAAGACAATTTTGCAGTTACAGCCAAACATAACTAACCTCTCCTCTAAATAAATCTAATTTAAAGTGTGTGTGTGTGTGTGTGTTGACCTCACATGCTCTTTGTCAATTCACCTGTTGCACTTCTGACCTTTTACCAGACCAAAAGCTCACTGAGACTATGTGTATGTCTTCTACTAAATAAATGTTTTAATCAAGAACCTCTACTAAAACCTTAATATAAAATGATAAAGCTATCTGTTACATTGTTAAAGCCTCGTCTTAGCCTGCGGCTCAAAATAACTTCCTGCTTCTTTCTGCATACAACTTCCTGTCAGCCTGCAACTCAGTCTTTCTGAAAGAGACACTGTTTAAACCTTGGAGTGCAATATCCATGCTGCAAATTATATTATTAATGCAATAACAATTATTTAACAATAGCAGTAAAATAATTTCCCTCCTCGACACATACCAGGAGCTGAAGTGTAACCCAGTGTTAAGAACAATGAAAAGTGTACACTGGAGCCACTGTCTGTGTTTTTTTAGGAGATCTTTCACATTTCTGGACGGGATTAATCTTCAAGAAACAAGAAGTGCGAAAGCGGATCGTTGAATGAAACCATGAACCAGAACTGGTTTGTAAAAATGCTGCAGCTTCACTGGTGTGGAACTGGTTTAGCTTTCGTCCGTCAGATACACAACAAAGCACTATTTTTGGTAGCGCATGCTAGCGGGCCGTCGTTATTACCGTGTTGTTTGGAAAATACGGCACACTTAAAATCAATACTTTGATTTTTCTGAAAGTCGACAGAGCCCCTTATAACCCCGTGTGCCTTATGTATGAACTCTGGTTGTGTTTACTGACCTGGAATCGATTTTATGTACACGGCGCTTGAAAATCTGTCGAATGTTTCAGTACGACTTTGCTAAGCTACGAAGTCGCACCGCTTGATGGATTGTCGGAGCATTACGGCTATCGTAGGCGGAGCCTCGCGGAGTGATACGTACTGTGCTTCAACATACTGTTACCGTATTGTGTGTGTATAACCTCTTTTTAAGTTTTGTGGATATTATACATGGTTATGCTGAGGATGTGTCGGCCAGTTTCCACTGGAAATGCCTTTTGGTTAAACTGTCAGCAAATAATTTGCATTTGCACAGTTACATGTTTATATAACTTTTATATAACACATAAAAAACAGCTGCTTGTTTAAGTGAAAATACATTGATGGGTTTTTTTGCACTAATAAAGTTGTGGAGTTGAAAATTCCGAGAGGCGAATTACACATCATATATATATATATGTAATTCGCCTCTCGGCAGTCTATCCTTCAAGCTCGGGTCCTCTACCAGAGGTCTGGGAGCTTGAGGGTCCTGCACAGTATCTTAGTTGTTCCTAGGACACTGCTCTTCGGAACAGAGATCTCTACACAGCCTGCACCTGGGGTCTTGGCTCGTGTGATAGACCCCAGCCTCTATGGATCTTGTGCTCAGAGCTCGTTCCTGTTCTGCCATGATTAGTGCCTCTGTGCTGTCTTTCAGTCCAGCTTTGTCCAGCCACTGGTAGGATTTCTGGATGTTAGCCACCTCCTCTATCTGCCGGTGGTACATAGCGTGCAGGGGCCTGTCCTTCCATGATGGTTCCTCCTCTTTCTTGGGTTTCTGCTGCCGGAGGTATTCACTGAGCACGCTGTCAGTTTCTTCCTGATGTATTCGGGGATGTTCGTTGTCTCATCCTGGACCATGGTGCTCACACTCACCAGTCCCCGGCCTCCTTCCTTCTGGTTAGCGTACAGCCTCAGGGTGCTGGACTTGGGTTGAAACCCTCCATGCATGGTAAGGATCTTCCTTGTCTTGATGTCAGTGGCTTCCATCTCCTCCTTTGGCCAATTTATTATCCTAACAGGGTACCTGATCACGGGCAGGTGTAGGTGTTGATAGCCCGGATCTTGTTCTTACCATTCAGCCAACTTCTCAGGACTTGCCTGACCCTCTGCAGGTACTTGGTGGTTGCAGCTTTCCTAGCGGCCTCTTCATGGTTCCCATTTGCCTGATTTGAATTGAATTATGTTACTCTTATGTTACTCTTTGTCAAATACATTAAATTGGTGCTTTTCTTTTGTTGTGGTGGGGGCATGGTAGTACTCAGACTTCACCCTTCATCGACATGCTCCAACCTCAGGTTTCCAACTTTGTAGAGAAGGATTCAGCAGCAGGATAACACATGTCAGTGCTTTAAAAAATCTGTGCTTTAAAGAGTGAAGTACTTCAGACTGGAAAATAATAAGGACTCCTGACTGTCACCTAACCTTAGATCTACTGAGTCCTTTTGTGACTGAGAATGACAAAAGGGCTGATAATCTTTTGTGGTAAAGCACCTATGACCACAAGCTATAGTTCTTAAAAAAAAAAGGAATGAAATCAAGCAGCAGATAAGAGCTTCCTCCCAAGAGTCTGACCACTCCCTTAGAGATGGGTTGAGGAACTTGAGTAGATTTGAGAATAGAGCTACTACTCCTCCACATCGGAAGCAACAGTTTAGGTGGTGGTGATGGCGTCTGACTAGAATGCCTCCTGGACGGCTCTGAGGTGAGGTGTTTCCAGCATGTTCAAGCGGGAGAAAGCAGGTACAGACCTAGGACACACATAAGAGATTGTCTCTCCTGATGGACTCTGAAATCTTTGGCATCTGCCCAGAAGAGAAGCTGGTTGGGGACAGTGAGGTTTTTTTCCCCTCTTGATAATTATAAAGAAAAAGAAAAAAGTCAACAATGATGATTCAGTTATTCTGTGTGCTACATTACTTAATTCCAGTTATCTACAGACTTATATTTGTAATGACTGTCAGGTAAAGCCCTAAACCAAAGACCAACTTATTTGAACCTCGTGTGAATACCTGTACTGCAATTTGCATGATTTAATATGTTATTAAAAGAATTAGAATAATATTTCCATTGTTTATTATCAGCAATTACTCAAATACATACAAACAAACAGTAGGAAAACTTGACTTATTTGTCACAAGCTTATCATGTTTAGCGCACCCACATTCACACTTCCAAGTTTGTTTCTTTTCTTTTCTTTTTTTTTTAAAAAGAATTTTATTTACAAATCATTTTCCAAGAAATATAAATTAAACATTCCACTGATTTACTACCAACAAACTCCACAGAATATTAAACTGCCATTTTCCGGCAATGTCTCAGTACTAATAAATACAACACTATCCATTCTGAGTGACTGGACCTTCAGCTTACTTCAGCCATTTTCACTTTTAAACATTTCTACACAATTATTCTTCCTAAAGTCTTTGAAAACAATAGAAAAGCTGGAAAGGTTCTGACATCATCCTCTGATACAGAAAGTTCAAGGGCTGAAAGACCAATTAGTTTTCAACATTGCTGAAGACTCCATAAACTGATGGACAATGAACATTACACTGGAGAGGCAATATCGGCTGGCAGAGGTCAAATTCAAAATGAGTCAAAAATCAAAGGTATACAGAAGACTTTAAGAGAAGAACCACAGAAAAAAAATTCCAATAAATTATTTTTGAGGATAAATAATATTTTTAAGCTACATATCAGAAAAAAGCCAGGCTGAGAGATTCCCAAATTCACCACATAACTGGTGCAGAACCAAGCTTAAAGATGTACACTTGTAGCTGATCGTAAGTAAATAACAAGTGGTCCAAAGTTAGTAGCCACTGGTAAAGCCATTATTTTCAATAATGAATTAAAAACAAACAAACAAACAAACAGCGCTAAAGTCAAAAATTTGGTGTTAAATATAATATTTCTTAGATGGACTCAACTGAGAGTTCTTGGGGATGAAAGAAACAATTTGATGATGAACTTATCTTCCATGTTTAGTTTTTTTAGACTTTTTCTTTGTTCTTTCCATGTAATAATCTAAAGGCTTTCATGATGTTTGAATTTTCCACAGAAGATTTTGATGTATGTTACGTATTTACAAAGATAAAATCACACAACCCCCAACTGGTTCTGAAATTTGGCCGCCCCTCCCTGAGCCTGTTCTGTCAGAGGTTTATTCCTGTTAAAAGGGAGTTTTTCCTCCCCACTGTCAACAAGTGCTTGTTCAAAGGGGGTTGGTTTGATTGTAGGGTCTTTATCTTATAATATAAAGCGCCTTGAAGTTGTGATTTGGCACTATATAAATTAAATTGAAATTAAAAAGTTTGTTACAATTAGTAAAAAAAATGTCAGAGATTAACTGGCAGAGTTTGGAACATTTAGCTAGACATAATAGAAAGATAAAGTTGAGACCACATTAAAAAAATCCTATTTACACAAAGTCCCATCAAATCATGTAAAAAGAGGCAATAGAAGAAAAATAATTACAAACATTGGTGAGTTTTCGTTTGCAAAAAGCCTTCTTCTGTACATTTCTACAACATCTGTATTGAGACAGGCATACCTAGACCTAAGTACATATCATGCTGCACTAATATAGTGCAAAATTATCCCTGAAAAATGGAGAAGGGACAGGCAGGCAGAAGTGATGCTGTCTCTGGGATTTATTAAGCTCCTTTTTGTCTCCTCGTCATATTGTTTCTTGTGAGATGCACCGAAGCCATAATGACACTCAGGCCTCCGAATGTTCATTTGACACAGAACAAGTGATATCAAGGCAATGTCACTGAGCAGTGAAAAAAATGAGGGAATGATTTTCACAGAAGTATTTGTTCTGCGGAGACACTATTCAGTGACTGTTGTTTGAATATTTTGGGCAGTGGTAGATGGCAAAGAAGCAAAGGAGGACTTTCAGCAGGAAACAAAGAATCCATGAAGGCTCTTGTGAAATAAATGCCAAAATGAACATTTAAAAACAGATGGGGAAAACTAGGCTGCTAATGAATGTGGTCAGTCTTGATCTTTGAGGTTCTTCTTTTGCATGTGAACGAGTCTCAGCATTGGCGCTGATATCAAAGGGTTTCCACGGCGATGCCGTAAGTTCTGAAAGAAGACAAATGTTTGTACGTTGAGCAGGAAGACTTCTACATGTCTGCATCTCCATCGTAAGCCAGAGTCAAAGGCTTCAGTCTGTTGTTCATCTGGCGTCTCTGTGGCTTCTTTGGCTTTTTGCTACAGAACAAACAAAGAACAGGTGAGGAACAGTAAGACAATCTGATAGCAGCCACCTGACAGTAACTTCCACTCATGACCAACCTGTTACATACGAGACATGATTCTGTGTTTCTGTCATATCTGCCCTAAAAACAACATCACTGTCTTTGGAAGTTTATCCATCAGTCTTCAGCTGTCCCTCCTCATTTATACACTGTTGCTAAAGAGGAGAGCTGTACAAAATAAAGTCCTTTATAGTTTTCAAAATTGGCTTCAGAGTTATTATAACTCTGGGACAACGTTTAGCGTTTTCCACTGGTCACTGAGCACAGGTGCTACACATTGATACATTACCACATCACTATTTTCTAAACTTTGGTTACAGTCCTGGTAATATTAACTTAAAATAAACATTAAAATGTGCAAAAACGGTGATATTGCATTTGCTCTGCAATATGAGAGAAGTTGAAATTCTACATTTCCAGAGGTTTCTTCATATTGAAAGGGAGTTTTTCCTTCCCACTGTGGTCAAGTGCATGCTCATACCAAATGGTCTGATTGTTGGGGTCTTTACCTTGCAATATAAAGCACCTCGAGGCGAGTGTTGTTTTGAATTGTTGCTATATTAATAAAACTGAAGTGAACTGAATTGAAATTGTTTAACCAAGACTTAATTCAACTAATAAACTTGTACAAATATGATTCAATATTTTCACCACAAGGTCAACTTTTCAACTTTTTGCTGTCAAATCAGCAGCTTTTTGGTTTTCTCACCTCTAGTAGGTGATCCACTGAAATGATTGAACAAGCAATCTGGATGTTTGGGAACATGTCACATGTCGTAGAGAATAAAAGGAGTTAAGTAAGGCCTTGACTACGTGATAAGAGTTTCAAATGGAGCTGGGTGTGGCAGTGAGTGCTGTAGCTCTGGATGTTGTTGTGATGATGGAGGCTTTGAGAGCTGTGCCTCATATTGCTGTTGCTTTTCCTGCAGCTGCGGTTGCTGTTTGTTGCACCACTTTAACTCCTCTTGCTCTAGTTTCTGGCAGGCAGGACAGGTATAAGTGCAGCTGTTTTGCTCCATCCAATAAATCCTGTCTGAGGGGGACTTGGAGCTTGACTTGCAGCAAAGGCAACAACCACAACAACTAAATAGAGTGTGAGAGGGTAGAAAGAAAAAAGGGACAAGACAAGACAAGAAGGAACAAATGATAAGGGAAACAGAAAAATGAAAAACAAAAACAAATGAAGAAATAATTGTGAGCAGTGTTGTGATGGAGGTCAGATCCCATGTCATTTTATTGGATGATGCTTTTTTTTCATAATATGGCCTTTAAATAGACAATGCAAGATGGAAGACAGGCGTTACACTTCATTCTACATGAAAACCGAAATCTAAGAAGTCTGTTGACGTGTCGTTGATTTAATAGGCGCACTGACTCGCCTCTGTCAGTGCGCCCCAGGGCAGCTGTGGCTACAATGTAGCTTGTCGTCAACAGTGTGTGAATGTAGTGTAAAGCGCTTTGGGGTCCATAGGGACTAAGTAAAGTGCTATACAAATACAGGCCATTTACCATTTACCAATAGATCGGACTCTGACTTTTGAGCTTAGTATGGCTCAGTGATCAGGTAGACAATTGGTTGTTAAAAACAAATTGCTATCTGATCAGTGAACATGATGTCAGAGCCATTATTTAAAAAAGAAAAATCCTTACTGACTCGTCCTTATGGTCGCCAAACTGGCCAATGTGTGACATTCCCAACATCAAAAATAATCAAAAAAGTTGTAAGATTGTTGCAGGATGTTCAGATTCTTTTGCAACATCCAATCTGCAATAGCAGATGGGTGCTTCATCATGACAGTGCACACTCACAGTACACTGAAAATGCTCACCCGCTACGGATTTGACTCCCTGTGACTCGTCCCACTTTGATTTTTTAGGATTCTATTTCATTTAGTCCTAAACTTTATGAGACACAGTACAAAATCACTAATTGCTAATTAGTGAACCACATTTTAATTTGACTTTCTTTCATGGTGATCTCCATCACATCACTTAATGTACATTATTGACATCATGAGGGAAAAAAATCAAATTGATGATGAAGTCAGAACATATTTCAGATGTGTTACTTTACCATGCTAAGTATGTCATGGAGATTATAAAGACAAGCAGCACAAATGCTCCTGCTGCTACTCCATACACCCAGGTTTTCAGCTTCCCATCTGCAGAGACACATAGACAGCAATGGTCAGCACTTACGATTGGACAGTTTTATTTAGACAAAGGTGACCCGAGTAAATACAAAATGCAGTTATTAAATTATGACTTCCTTTATTAAATGAAAAAGTTTATCTAGGGTTATCTGCAAAGGAGCCCTCTAAACCTAATATTGGGTTATCAGCCCTCCCTTTTCTCTCTCTCTCTCATTCTATTCCTTTTCTTCTTCTTTTTTTTTTATTTTATTATTACTTCCCCTATCTTTTGCCAACATAGCTCACCCTCGGTCAGCTCCGGCAGAATAACCACTCCAATTACAATGTGAATAATGACAGAAAAGAAAAGAAAAGAAAGCTCACACCACCACCTCTGTGTTTTACTTGTATACCTCATACATCTCTAAAGTTAGAAATATCCTGTCTCAGAGTGACGCTGAAAAACTAGTTCATGCATTTATTACTTCCAGGCTGGACGACTGCAATTCATTATTATCAGGATGTCCTAAAAACTCCCTGAAAAGCCTTCAGCAGCAAAGTCATTTAAAAATTCCTTATTTGGCTTAGGTGGTGGGAGTATATACAAGGAGCTGTACTGCGATGTATTCAAATGAGTGGAAGGGTGGGGAAGAGACAGGGAGAACTTTCCAGTGCTTGTGGTGAATTATCACGAGGCCGCCGCCCCTCCCAGAGTTGCGAGATTGACAGATGTAAACAAATTCAGATGGAGTAGAGTCATTAAGTGAAACAAAATCATTAGGCTGTTTCCACGTTTCAGTCAAGCAAAGAAAGTCCAAGAGAGGAGATCCTGGACAAGATGTCCCTTACCGGTAAGAGCGAATGTTTAAAAGACAGAAGTTGATGCTGGAATTACGATGCCAGGCTTAGCCGACCTAACAAGGTGTGCCAGCACATTGTGGTCAACAGTCCGGTCAGTTTTCCGGGGATGACGACGAGTTTTGGACCAGATGGACTGGACACTATTGAGTTAGTGTCATTGGTATTGAAGTTTCGCTGAAGCCCTCGGTGAATGTACGTGTGGCGGGGCTTGAAAGCGATGTCTGGATAGAGTTAAATCAGAATCAGAAAGGCTTAATTTATCTCCAAGGGGCAATTAAGAAAGTAAAGCGCCACAGGTAGAGAGTTAGGAAGCGGAGTTGCAGAAGTTCAGAGTACTGAAGTAGAGCTGTCGCTGGGTGACGAGCGATGGAACGAAAACAACCCAGGTGAGCACGGATCACACAGACACCCTGTGGATCCACATCTTGATCAGGGCTGCCGCTGAATGTAGACAGTTGGAAAAGGCCATGAGGGTAAAAGACCGAGCAGGCAGCTGGAGTGCGAGCAGTAAAAACCCGCAAATATTGCAAAAGCAAGTCAAAACAGGATTGTGCTTTAAATACGCTTAAAATACTTCAGTCAAGTTGTCATCAATAACTTTAAAACAAAATAAAAACAAATAACAACGAGAATAAATCGGTGAGCAGCGGCAGCCAGATGCGCCAGCGTTCATTCAGCCAAAAGACTAGTGTCTGTGACAGCAGAGCAGGAGCACTGGTGCGGCCGGTATCGGACCTTTAATGCTACTCGGGTTCCCAGATTTTATCAGAGGAGGCAGGGTAGCCACCTGGATAACAGACGCAGTTAGTGCTGGCTGAGTCTCACAGATCGGCTTCATCTGAACTCTGCAGTGCCTGCTGGGTAATACTCATAGGATCAGAGGTTAAACAGTGAGCTCATCCAGACTTCCTTTATTGAGGAGCTGGTTCCACCAGAATGACACTTTTGATCTGTAATCTGGATCTTAACCTGCTCCAGAGCAGGTTAGGTGTGCAGCATGGGTTAACCCTGATGTGACCTGGATAACCCAAAATCCCGCTTCGTAGTACAGGCCTCTGATCGGCAGTGTTAGGGTAAGTGAATCCAGATAACAGAGAAATCCTGGCTGTGCTGAAAGCGTTAACACAAAGCTTGCTCGGTGTTAACAGAAGGAAAATGTTGGCTTGTTATTTTTCATCACAGATGTTTTAGTCCAATAATAATTTGCATGGTTGTATTGACACCCATTAGCATAAACCGGACTTTACAACCTCTTCATCAGGTCAAATCAAACCATTTAATGTAAAAAGTAATAATGCCGTGTTCCAGATACCTGAGGTCACTCCCGAGCAGAGATGGGCAGTACTGTAATCCGATTACTTTTTTCAAGTAACGCATAAAGTAAGGGATTACTATTGCAAAAAATAGAATAGAATAGAATAGAATTCAACTTTATTGTCATTGCACATGCACAGGTACAGGGCAACGAAATGCAGTTTGCATCCATCCAGAAGTGCTTAGTGATATAGATATATTACAATATATATTAGCAATAATATAGATATGTAAGTATATTACAGAAATGGGTCTATTATGTTATAATGTACACGGTATGAAGTATGTTGTGAATATTCTATAACTATAAGTATGTACAGGCTGTAGTGAGTACAAGCTATGTACAGGATATGAACAGGATATAAATATGAAAAACTATACAGAATATGAAATAAATAACTTTACAGGAATCTGAGATATACAGCTATACAGAAATGGGAACTATGCAAGTTGTAAACAGTTGTAGGGTTAAAAATTATCGTATGTACAGAATGATTGTTTACACAGGGCTATACAGTAGTGCAGTTAAGGTAAGTGAGGGTGTGGATAATTTCTACAGAGGCTATATAAAGTGCTAGTGGTTGTGAGTGGTGGTTCACTCCATGTTATTATTGTGTGTTTGAGGGTACAGTTGTCCATTGTGTGTGTGTGTGTATGTTCAGTCCATGAGTTAACGTGGGTCAGATGTCAGGAGGCAGAGTTCAGGAGTCTGACAGCTGTGGGGAAGAAGCTGTTCCGGTACCTGGTGGTCTTAGTCCGGAGGCTCCTGTAGCGCCTCCCAGAGGGCAGGAGGGTGAAGAGTCCATGTGATGGGTGACTGGGGTCTCTGATGATTTTCCCAGCCCTTTTCAGACACCGCTTCCTGTAGATGTCTTTTATGGCAGGAAGTGGTGCTCCGGCGATGCGCTGGGCAGTTTTCACGACCCTCTGCAACGCCTTCCGGTCCGAGGCAGAGCAGTTCCCGTACCAGACTGTTATACAGTTGGTCAGGATGCTCTCGATGGTGCAGCGATAGAAGTTCACCAGGATGTCTGAGGACAGGTGGTTCTTCCTCAGAGTCCTCAAGAAGAAGAGGCGCTGATGAGCCTTCTTGACCAGCTTGGAGCAGTTGGTCGTCCAGGTGAGATCCTCGGAGATGTGGACTCCCAGGAACTTGAAGCTGCTCACACGCTCCACAGCCGTCCCCTTAATGTGGATGGGTGGATGTGGGTCAGCATTCCTCCTGTAGTCCACGATGAGCTCCTTGGTCTTCTCGGTGTTAAGCAGCAGGTTGTTTGTGTCGCACCACTCAGCCAGACGATCCACCTCCTCCCTGTAGGCGGCCTCATCGTTGTCACTGATGAGGCCAATCACCGTGGTGTCATCTGCAAACTTAATGATGGTGTTGGAACCATCAGCAGGTCTGCAGTCGTGGGTGAAGAGGGAGTAAAGGAAAGGGCTCATCACACAGCCTTGTGGTACACCGGTGTTCATTGTGATGGTAGATGAGCAGCGGTTATCCAGCCGGACATGTTGGGGGCGGTTGGTCAGGAAGTCCAGTAACCATTTGCAGATGAGGGAACTGATGCCCAGGTCTGTCAGTTTCCTGATGAGTTGTGAGGGGTGGATTGTATTGAATGCTGAACTGAAGTCTATAAACAGCATTCTGGCGTAGGTGTTGTTGTTGTCCAGGTGTGAGAGGACAGAGTGCAGTGCGATGGAGACTGCATCCTCTGTGCTCCTGTTCTGGCGGTATGCGAATTGGTGGGGGTCCAGGGTGGGGGGGAGACAGGATTTGAAGTGTGCTAGGACCAGCTGCTCTAAGCACTTAGTGATGATGGGGGTGAGTGCTACTGGGCGGTAGTCACTGAGGCAAGATGGGTTGGAGTTTTTGGGTATCGGGACGATGGAGGTGGATTTGAAGCAGGCCGGTACCACAGCGTGGGCCAAGGACAGGTTGAATATGTCTGTCAGCACTCCTGCAAGCTCCTCAGAACACGCTCTGAGAACACGCACGGGGATGCCATCAGGACCTGCAGCCTTGTGGACATTGATCCTGCTCAGCACCGCTCCTACATCGGTGGGGGAGAGAGTCAGAGGTTGGTGGTCTGGCGTCACGTCTGCTTTGGTTGTGGTTGTGCGGTTCCTTCGCTCAAAACGAGCATAAAAGTTGTTGAGCTCGTTGAGGAAGGAGACATCAGGAATTAGAAAAAAACATCAAATCACTAGAAGAAGCCTACGCGTCCCACCAAGATCAGGAAACATTGAACAAAATACGCAAAACAAAACTAGAATTAAATGAGATAATTGATAAAAAAACAAAATTCTTAGTACAAAGACTACGCCTACAAAATTATGAACATGGTAATAAATCCGGTCAATTTCTAGCAAACCAGCTAAAAATAAATAAAGAAAAAAGAACTATATGTGCTGTTCAAGATTCATCTGGGAACACATTATATGAACCGATACAAATAAACAACATTTTCAGGGATTTCTATAAAACGTTGTATTCACCACAAATAAACCCATCTAAAAAAGAAATTGATCAGTTTTTGGACAACATAACTCTTCCAAAATTATCGGACACTCAAGCAATGGCACTGGATTCACCACTGACACCAGGTGAACTCCAGGAAGCCCTGATAAGTATGCACAATAATAAGGCTCCAGGTCCAGATGGCTTTCCTGCAGAATTCTACAAAGAATTCTGGTCGATTCTAGCACCAGTTTTCTACAGAACGTTGTTGGAAATTAAAGAAAAGGGCAGACTTCCATCAAATATGAATTCTGCAAACATTAATCTCCTGCTAAAACCAGGCAAAGACCCTGTATATCCCTCAAGCTAACGTCCAATATCCCTTATAAATGTAGAC